ATCTTAGTAGTAATTAATAAGCTACTTTAGAAAAGGATATATCATCATTTGCTTATAATGAATGATTGAGGAATGGTAACAAACCCAATAATAAACCATAATTTTTTAATTTTTGTCCATCATGGATCCTATTTTACTTAATTGACAAAGATAATAAGCCCAACATAACTAAAAAAATTCCTTTTTTAGTTAAAATCCACATAGGGGCTTACACGTTAATTTAAAAAAGATGATACATGTCCTTAAAAGGAGAACTAAAGACACTAATGCTCAAAGAGCTACAGTCAAAAAAAAAAAAAAAAAACCTAATAGCATAACATTACCATAAAAATACAAAAAAAAAGAAAAAAAAAAACAAATACAACAAAGGGAGCATCATCCATAAGGATGGAGAAGTTGGAGCCTCTAAAAGGCATAGCACTAGCTACAAGCTAAAAAAGTTGGATCTTCAAAGGGAGCATACTCCAAGGATCAGCAAGATAAAATAACTTCCAAATAGAAACAGTTAATACTGAACCAAGCTAGAAACAAATCATCACCAACAAAGCCTTAAAAGAACAACGACGTAAAAGACATACCACCAAACTACTGACCCAACCAATGAGCTGAGGCTAAAGACCCCAAACACCAACATAGCAGAGCCCTGTATTGGGTACCCATACCCACACCCACCCATGTACCCATTGGGTATGGGTACGCCCATGGCCTTATGGGTGGGTACTAAACATCGAGGGATAAATCGATTTACATTGATAATCACCGTATATCTTACTTATACTACTGCAACCATCACTACGTATTGTGCAACACTTAACCACGATACGAGTACGATAAATTTTGATATATGACTTGAAAGTTTGCCATCATAGCAAATGACAACAAGACTCAAGGCCATCAGTCTGTGACAGACTACATTTAAAAAATATGGAAAGTGGGTGGGTATAGGTGGGTACGAAATCCCGGAAGTCACCATGGGTGGGTGTGGGTGGGCGAAGCCCGTCCGAGTAAAACATGGGTACCCAATGGGTACACAACCAGGACCTCTTATAGGGCTTTGTAACAAAGACTACATGAGCCATGACCCCAACCGCATAACCAACACCACCATCCCAAGACAAGATTAACACCATGATACACCTAGAGGACCCAAACCAAAACAGAAAAAAGTAGAACACCAACATAAAAACACCACAAACAATGGGAGACCCCTAGCACAGCACAGGTCCAGATAAACAAGAAGAAAATGCCCGAACAACAAAAATAAACAAGCTAATTAATATGGAAATTAAGAAGAGCATTAGTGTGCGTAGGTATACCAACAATATACTTAAAATTATTCAACACACGCTTATTTTTTTTCTTGATTTCTTGCATGAGCCCCACAAATTTTCCTTCATAAACCACCTGCACGACATTTAAATTACTCTTCTCTAAGTTGGAGGGATCCTCACAAGATCCCTAAGCATCCCAATTATCACAAGATTGAGTGCTGACCAATCAAAATGTTCAATAGGGTTGACCAGAAGAGGTATAGGAGATACATGTAAATTGATTATGGGGACCTTATTAGAAGCATCCAAGCCATCACAAAAATTTAAAGGGACATTCATAGGGGATGGATGAGAAGGAATTATTTTTCCCTGCGGTCCCTCAACACTAGTGCAAACACTCACATTGATATCACCAATGTGAAGATCCTCATACTCCAAAATAGGAGTGCTAGCTAAATGATTGTCCAAACTATTGGAAATAGGAATTACCATATATTTTTCATCCATAAAATTACAATTTCCCTCAAGATCTATCATATCAGAAGCATCAGATGGTCCAACAACATCATCAACATGTATTAACGAAGGTTTCGAAGCCGTATATTTCATATTCTCCACAGTTTCTTGCATAGCAAACTCAGAAAAATGATTAGGGTGTAAATTATTGTTAACCTCATAAACAACATTTTCCAGAACGGGGATGATTGTGGGATCTTTGGCTAAATGGGGGTTAAGAATGTGACAATCCATTTTGGAGCACCCTAAGGATTTATAGTGAGCACAATAAGGAGGGAACTCCTCCAATTCCACATGTTGAATATATCCCAATTTTTTAAGGCCTAGCCACACTATATAGGGGTAATGTTTAGTGACATCTAATTCAACCAGGATTCAAGTAACAGAGGACCTTGAGCCAATAGAGGTAGCATTATTCATTTTAAAAGGGCGCCCAAATATGGTTTCCAAATCGTGAAGGACACGAGGATAAAATAAGTGAGGTCGAGGGTTAGGGAATGAAATCCATATTTGGATGATAGGAGATTCTACATCAATGTCAGGAAGATGCGTCCACTTGCATAATTTCATGTAGCAATTGCTAACAAAATAAGAACGATGAGATAACACTCTACTATAATCCAAATCATTCACTAACTTAATCAAAACATGCTTTGGGCTCAATAGAGTAGCTGAAAACTCTTTAAAAAGCTTGAGATTAAAGAAAATTTTATGAATATCATCAAGAGAGGGTTTACGAATAGGAAATTTGCCAACCAAAGTGAACTCGAAAGAAGCAGTAAGAGTGAGTATTTCTTCTTCTGAAATCAGTAACGATGGTAACCCACGATGAGTAGTGGTTTTTAGGACAAGAAAACTAGGCGAAGGGGAAGCCCCAAACAGAGATTCTAAGTAGGAACGAGTATTCTTTTTGAAATTGAGAAAGCCTGGGTTATTTAAATGATTAACTGTCATTCTAGCCAATAACCGACAAAGGTGGAAGAATCGAATGAAGCATAGACAAATGATAAAATCATAGAGAATAAGATGAGAGGGAGAGAGAAGGCTTCTTTGAATTAAGGAACATCAAGCAAAGAGGGCCTCAGACTGGACAACACCGACGTGGGCGATTAGGGCAGAAAAACCCTAACAGAGCCCATCTTGAGGCAACATGTTGTAATCAATTGAGAATTAATTATGTATTGTACCATTTAATGGCATATTGTAAACCTAGGTTACAATTTTGCTTTAGGTCCTACTTTAAGCTAAAATTGTAAATAAGAGAGAGGGCTACATTCCAAGTTAGGTGCATCTTATAGCTTACGATTATTACATTTAGTTGATGGGAAAAATTCAAATTTTGGTCATAATCATAATATAATGAAATCATTTTTTGGTGAACCACCAAATCATGAAACACAAGCCCATTCTTAATGAAAAAATATTTGAGCATTAATATACATATACACTTAACATGACAATGACTATTTGTTAGTTTTTGTCAAACTTAAATTTGTAACCATCCTTATAAAATAATGCGAAGGATGGATATGTGGCTTTTTTAAGTATGAAGTGATTATTATTGCTCAAGTATTTTCAGATTGTTGATATTGAACTCTATGCATGTATACAGCGGATCGAATATTAAAATTTGAGATTTAAGGCCAGCCATGTTTGAAGATGGCCTTAAGGATTTTCAATTTTAAATATTTTTCTATTTAAGAAATATCTTGAAGGTCTTATTTGCAAAATATAAAATAAAATATCATAATAAGATTTGTAATTGAGTATTTGAATCTTATCTCATCATGATGCAACTTATTTGATTAGGGTTGTATCAAGAAATTTTATGAATATTCATCTATTTACATAAACAATTATTAGATTGTGGGTCATATCAACACTTTTTTTTTTAACAAAAACAAATTTATTAATAAAAGGAAAGGTTACAACAAAAGATGGCAAACTAGGAAATAAAAAGACAAAATACATTGATAGTTGGGCTCAGTATTTGGTCGAGACTTCTAGTGCCCCAATAGCTCGCACGGGCCGTCCAGTAAGGTGATAAAAGTGTCCAGTATTAGACCAACTACGAAAAACACCAAAGGTTGCCACTAGCAAAAAGATGAGGGCACGAGCCCCGGCCACATCATAGCCCCAGAACAAATCGGAAAAAGAACAGCGAGGACATAGTAAGGCATTATCCGAAAAAACACAGCAATTGTAACACAAAACAACAAGTCATCGTCTTCGACAGATGTGAGTCATATCAACTCTAGTCTTAATCCAGTCCTATAGACAGAATGGTCCATATGAGTAAAACTTTTATAATTTTAAGATGTTATTGGGTTAATAGTCGTGTCAACTCCACATCTATTTGATGGAGAACAAGCCAAAAATTGAAGAAATATGACCCTATCCTATATACAGGGAGTCCACGATCTCTTTAAAAGAATTGTTAGGATTGATCCAGTTTCAGCTTAACTGGTTCTGCAAGACACTACAATCATCTCTAGTTTATAAATAGGATGTATAGCTTGACATAAAAAAAGCGCCCATTAAATAAAGTAATTTGGAATTCTTGTTAGCTCGCTTCGTCTCCTCCCTCTCTCTTCCAATTAGCTCAAGAAGAGCTCATCTTCCTCCAAGAATCATACCAAGAATTTTGGAATTTTATCTCAACCTTTATATACAAATATTTAATGTTTCTTTTTCTTTCTTTGGCAACAAATCAAAGTATCAAGAGCTAGCATTTCTCAACCTCACCTCACTTAAGCACATAAGCGCATCATGATGATTTCTTTTACAAAGAAGTGAGTTTGCACAATATTTCCAAGTAGTTGCACTCTTTCTGGAGTACCATAATTGGAGTTTAATTTGCCTCAAGGAATTATGCGTAGCATTTTGTAATTGTTCCCATTTCAATCTTTGATATTTGACATAAGTTTTATCTCCGGCCATGCATGGATGATTTGAAACTACTCAGATACAGCTTTTCATGTCTCTATTGGTGAATGGATTATTATTGTAATAATTGCATAGTTGTTCATTTTGAGCTCGTTTGATTACATTATGTCTGATTCTGTCTTTCAGAGTATGCTTGCGAGCTCATTTGGTGTTCATTCATGGATTCTGGTTTGCTCTGAAAAGAAAGATACCACAGAGGCATATATTGATTTAGCGTTATTTGAAATGCTGTGAAATCATTTTTCTTTGTTACAATTTTCTAAATGAACAGATAACCTCAGCAAAATAGAACAGATCTAATAAGAACAATAATAATAATCTTATTATTTCACTTAGTAATGATGGAATAAGAAGAAGAAGAAGAACAAGAAGGAGAGAAGAATGGCTAATTGTCCCTTGGAACTCTTATTCCAATATAACCAAACCCAATGACGAAGAAGGCGATGCATTGCATGAAGAATAAGCCGAAGAAGTGATTATTTCCATATTTGTAATCATAACACCCACACAGTAACAGGAAGACACCCATCAACAGCTCAAGAGGATAACACCTGAGATATTAAAAGACAGAAATTAGTTCAATGACGACTATTATATACTATTTTCCTTTCCACCTCAAAATTTTGAATTTTTGTCACACTTTGTTTTCAGGAAAATTGAGAAATTTGTTGCAGTGCATATATTAAATGCTTACCTTTCACAAAATTTCTCTCTTGATTGTTTTGAAATGGAAATATTTGTTTTTGTCTTCGATATATCTCCTAATTTCTTGGTGACAATCCATTCAGTCGACCTTCCAGCTTCGAATAATCCAATAAGAACTGCTTTGCATCGATGAAGTGCCATCACATTTTCAAAAAGTGCCCAGAAAACCAGTAGATGAATCGAGCTGCAACGTTAAGAAATAGAAAGAAAATCATTTAGAGAACAAAGTTGATCGTAATTAGAGGAAAATTAGGAAGAATTAATACAAATTACCTTGGTGTTCCAACGGCATTTAGAAGGGTAATTGCTGTAGGCAGATATATTATGCCCCATCTGGGGATTTTAATTTCTGGGAAGAAAATGGAAAGGGGGATGAACACACAGAAGAAGAAAAAGGTGACAAAATGAGTTACAATTCTCCGGGCGATGAAAAAACTGTAGATAATGTAGAATTTCTTCAAGAAGGAGACCTGCTGCATTTTTCAAAAGGACAAAGTGTTAATTCAATGATATAATACTATTAATTACAGATATTCTTAATTAAATAAGCTTAATGGATGACAGATGAACCTTGGCCAACAAAATTTCCCAAAATAATTTCTTGAACAAAACAGCTGGGCCACATGACCATCGATGTTGCTGATAGCGGTAAGCCTTGAAAGTGCTTGGCAATTCACTTTTTACCTATTTAATTCATTAACCAACCAGATAAAAAGTTAGCATGAGAGAGAGAGAGAGAGAGACTGATAATTTTCATTGAAAAAGACAAGTACCTTGATGCTTCCAACATAGACAAATTTCCAGCCTCTAAGAGTTGCTCTCACGGCCAAATCCATGTCTTCAACAGTAGTTCTGTCTTCCCAACCTCCGGCATCATTAATGGCTTGGATTCTCCATACTCCTGCTGTTCCTGTTCAGTTTTGCAGCAAGTTTTGTGGGGATTAATAGGTCTACTTAGGAATTTTGTTTGCTACTCTTTGATATATCATAAAAAACTTAACTTGATCGGGCATGAATCTAGAGGCAAAATTAAGTTGATAATTTTCGAAATTAAATTTGAGATCATCTGAATTCTAATTTGTGCAAACTTATAGTTGAACTGAAAGTCTCGAAAAGACGAACCCAATGACACCAAATTCGACCCAATCCGAGTCCAATGAGTCCATATTGAAGACATGAAGCGCATTTGGAAGATTTAAATCATAAATTAGATGATCAAACGGTTTCCAAATGTGACATGCTATAATTGAATCGAGCGGATTGATAAGACGAATCCAACGAGTTCAAGATCATTGAATTCTAAAATCATTAAGGAACTCAAATACTCAGTAAACGATCTACAATCAAAGAAGACGATATTGGCCTTTCATTCAAAACACTCCCTGCATACCTTTGATCTCCCACCTATTTATTGACCATGTCAGTCTCAGAAAACTATAAATAGACTCCTCATTCTTCACCTGAAGAGGGGCCAAGCAAGGAAGAGAGAGAAACTAGAACTCTCATGCCACCAGACTCCTCCTTGACCACCGTCGGACCACTGAGCGTCGTTAGACTATTGCCGGACTTCCATCGGGCCATCGAGTAATGTCGAACTTTTGTCCGGCCACCAATTAATGCCGGACTTCCTCCCGACTTCCAATTATTGTTGAACTTAATTACACTTGGTTTCCAACTAATGCCGAACTTCTGCCCAGCCATCGACTGATGTCGGATTCCACCTAGCCCTTAACTACGGTCCTTCTGACCTCAGTCATCAGATTATAGTCCTTCCAACTTTTGTTGCCAGACAATGATCTTTCAACATTCTTCGCCTACCGACTATGGTCCTTCTGACCTCCGTCATCAAATAAACAATCTTTCTGACCATTGTTGCTCACCGAATATGGTACTTTTGACCTCGGTCGCCATACTATGGTCTTTCCAACCTCTCTCGCCCGTCAACTACAATCCTTTTGACCTCCATCGCCAGGTAATGGTCTTTCTGACCACTGTCTCCCATCGACTACAGTTCTTTCGACCTCCGTCACCATACTACAGTCTTTCCGATCTTCGTCGCATACTAATTACAGTCCTTTCGACCTCCGTCGCCATACCACAATATTTTTGACCTTCGTCGCCTGTCGGGTATGGTCCTTCCGACCTTAGTCGCTAGACTACGATCCTTCTGACCTCCATCGCCTGTTGGCTACGACCTTTCAGACCTTTGTTACTAGACTATAGTCTTTCCGGCATCCGTCGCCTATCGACTACAATCCTTTCAACCTCTATCGTCAGACTATGATCTTTTCGACTTCCGTCGCCCGCCTACTACGTCCTTCAGACCTCCATCGCAAGACTACGGTCTTTCCGACTTCTATACCCCGCCAATTACGATCCTTCCGACCTCCGTCTCCAAACTACGGTCCTTCTAACCTCCATCGCTAGCCGACTATGGTCTTGTCGACTAAACAAACATGTAAATATTGATTCTTCTGATTCCCATCATGTTATGAATTTTATATGATGTATATTTCCTACATTAAATCAAGGTCTTCCCTTAAGGAAGAGCCTCATTTGTAACCAGCTACAAACACTCACTATAGGAAAATCATTTATTACCGGTGTCATTTTTCAGCATAAATTGTTCATTTTCCAGCATTTTTGGAATTTACTAGTGACTTTACGACGATAAATTTTCCATCAATAAAATCCGCGTAGGAAAAATATTATCGTCGGTATTTTCTAGTGCATGAAAAATATTTCCAGCAGAAAAGGCTGCCAAAAAAAATAAATAAAAAAATTCAGAATTAATTAAAAACCGGCAGAGAAATTGCCATAAATTCTTTTGAAAGATTAGGTCTTCGAAATACTGCCGGAAAGTCATCGGAAAGCCGTCGGAAAATCCGTTGGTAATGGATAATTTTCCTATAATGACTAGTGGATTCATTCAAAAAGAGCCAGACCCTATGGTTTTTTCCCTTTTCCAGGGTGGTCTCCACGTAAAAACTCTAGTCTCTTATGAACTTTATACCCTCTCTTTTATCTGATTGTATGATGAATTTTTGTACAAAGATAAGACGTTAAACTTTATATTTCTCTATCGCCACGAGTATTCCAGGTCGCAACAATTATAAATAATAGTCAATTTCAATTTCAACCTAAATTGGTGTGTCCAATATAGAATCTCTAAAAAAGAAGAAGAAGAAAACCTTACCATTGTAACCAAAGAATCCGCAAGTGGTTGATCCTGATTCTTGCTCCACCTTAAAGTGATAATCCATAGACATTTCTTGCATCCTTGTCATCATGCATTCATCTGCATTTACTATAAAAACAAAAGAAGAAGCATTAGTAGAGTAATCAACCATATCTAATTTCAATCTCGATCGAAAGCTAAGAAAATCATTATTATTAATTAAACATTATTGAGATTATAACCAGAATCTCAATTTTATATGTTTCATTTGGGGTGATTTTTTTATGCTTCTTAAAGCAACTTTTGAGTTTAAAAATTAAAAAAATTATACTAAAGAACTGTTTTAAGAAGCAATAAAAAAGTCGTTCCAAATGAAGCCTTAATGTCATATTTTTTAAAATAGTATAGTAAAAAATATCATTATTAAAGTATGATGAAAAGTGCTTTTTCATTCATTAATTTTTATCCTTTATAAACTTTTTTTTTCAATAATTTTACAATTGCTTATGTTATTAATGGATAATAACATAAAATTAATCCTAAAAATGAGCACTTACAGAAAAGCAACATGCAATACTGAAGAAAAATAATACCCACTGTAAATTCTCTTTTGTTTCTACAAATAACTTTTTTATTTATTTATTGTGAACTTACCAAACTTCCATCGAGCTTGAACAAGAGCAAGGTTGGGGTTGTGAATAAGGAATGGAATGGTTCTTATGAGGAAATCAGGCTCAGGTTGAAAATCAGCATCAAACATAGCGACATATTCACATATTTGCACATAGTCATGCTTCATTCCCATCTTTAGGGCACCAGCTTTATATCCCTTTCTATTATCTCTTCTCACGTATTTTATGTTCTTTCCCTTCTTCAGCCATCTATTGCATTCTTCATAAATCAGCTCCTACATTATTACATCAAGAAAATTAAAATAATGTTGTTAGTAAGAAAAAATGTTATATCAACTATCAAGTATTGTTTCACACATAAAAACTTATAAAAAATACAAACGTATTATTATTTACTGAAGAAAGTAAGATATTGAGATGACCTATCTCAATATGTTACACGAAATGTTACCTTTATCATCGGATTTGTTGAATCATCAAGCACCTGTATTATTACACGATCTGTCGGCCACATAATATTACATGCTGCTCGTATGGAAAACTGGTAGACCTGCAATATTACTTTTGCTTCATAAGTATTCAAAAACAAATGCATGTACATGTGGAGAGAAGATAGGCATTGTATAAAGGTGGTGGAAGGGATATTTTGTAAGCTTAAGTATTAGTTTGGAATAGCTTTCTTACTGTTTTGCTTTTCAAACCGCAACCACATATTCTATTACTATTACTTTCAAAAGAAATTTTATGCATTTGATAAATTACTATATACAACAGCTTTATAAAACTATAAGAAAGCTATCCTAAATGAAACCTCAGTCACAAAAGAGATTTTTCTATGTTGAATTTTGAAATATTTTGCAAATTTTAACTCTTGGGGCAGTATATTCAAGTTATAAAAAGAGTATTGTTTCACTTTCTAAAAAAGTATTATTGAATAAATTTACTTAAATAATATCATTTTTCTTAATTTTTTATTTAAATATTGGGTAAGAATTTATAGGAAAAGAAAATTTTATGTCTAAAGCATATTAATCATATATTTTTGAAAAAAAAAATAATTTTTTATTTTTATGAATGTAGCATGAACCGTTATATTTCAAATTATGACCTCTAGACTTCATTATTTTATATTTAAAATGATTATAAAGCTAAATAATAAGAATTATTTGAGTGTAATTAGGATAATATTAGTTAATACATTAATTATCAAACCACCATGAAATTTACCTGGTAATATAGAAGTAATCCCTAGTTAAAAAATGTCATAGAATATTAAAAGAAATTAGGCTTATGAGTAGTAAAAAATTAAAGAAATGAGTAAGACAGGCAAAAGCCTGAATAATAGATAGATGAAGAGTGATAAACGAGTGAAGCATTGAAAGTAAGAAAATATAAAACTAATAATGAGATAAGCAATTAGAAAATGGACAAACAATCTCCATTGTTTCTTCATAGGTTATAAAAGTATTAATTGGATAAATAATGTGTTAGGTTTTTAAAATTTGTAAAAAATTAGCAATCAACAATATTCTTTTTGCTTAAGCTTTTGACTAAATGCCTAGCTATATAAAATTCATGAAGGACATATCATCCTAAAGGTGAAAATTAGGAGATTTGAAACCATAGCCCTCACTAAGGAATACAACGCAATCATTCAAAGAAAACTTTTACAAAAAATAAAAGATGGGGGGGTTTACATGCATACTACTTTATATCATGCTAGTGACATATCTAATACCTAAAACTTTAATATTTTATGACTATCACTCAATTGATATATTTGATATTAAAGTTGTCTATGGGTAATAAACATGAAATATTAAAAATTTGAATGTTAGATATGTAAATAACATGAAATAAAGTGGTATATAGGTAAATCCTCTTGAAAAAATACCAGGAGTTTTATGATTATATATACTATTCATGATGATAAATTATTGGATAAATCATTGAGTAACTTAGGAGTAAGCATCGATTTAATGCCTTAGTCTATTTTTAGCAAGTTAGGATTAGAAGAAGCAAAACTTGCACCTATAACTATAACAAGTTGGTAGATCATGGACTTGTCCCTAAGAAACTATTGAGGATGTAGTTATTCATAAAGGTGGATAAATTTATTTTTCCTATTAATTGTATTTTGCTGGATATGAAAGAAAACAAAGAGATTCCCATCATATTTGTAGGATCATTTCTAGCAACTAGAACCCCTTATTGATATTCAAAGAAGAGAGTCACACCTTTAAGTAAAAGATAAAGTAGTGATATTCAAAATGCATAATATAATTAAGTACCCATAAGAGAATCATAATCATTCTCATATAGATGCCTCAAATTCTAAATGTTATGGTTAATCATTTAAGGCTCACAAATGCTAGATATTTCCTCCAAGATAATCCTTTATTTTGTCAATTTATTAGCATTGATCAATACAGGATAAATTCTTACAAAGGTCATTATCAACGATAAGATTCCAATATGTTGGATGAAACATGAGGGAGCAAACAATTGAGTTTCCCTTAGTTCTCTTATGCCCTTGGACATATATGGAAAACTTGGTCGTCATGTAGGGGATAATTATGACTTTAATGATGTTGAATAAGAGGAGTTAATTATGTAATAGTCCAAACTCTTAGCTATCGAGAGATTGTCCACTTTGACCTAAGACTTTCCTTTAAATACTGTGGTTTGAGTTATGAAACCCCTCAAGTAAAAGAAGCTAAACTCTTCACAATCGAGATATTATCCATTTTGGCCTAAGAACCTAATGGTTTTGTCCTGTTGGTGTAACTTCCTAGAAGGTCACTCCTCCAAGAATTGCTTCGGGATGAGCATACTTAACTGCAGAGTTTCTTAAATAAAATTATGATCATTACATCAAAAGGCACCTCGATGTTTTAAGAGTTTAGTTTCTTTTACTTAAGGGGCTTCACAATCTCCCTCACATACATAAATGATATCCTCGTCAGCATTTTTATATCAGAATCATCCACCAAACATATATGATTATAGTGGCAGCCCCTACAAGTTCAAGTGGTGGCTTCTGTCATGTAGCATTTTGTCCTATACAAGATTCAAGAGGTGGCTCATATGGTGTATCACTTTGTCTTGTATGACACTTAATTATCGAGAATTTATCCGGTTTGACCTAAGAGCTTCACATTTGTGTCATATTGGAGCAATTTTCATGTAGGTCACCCATCTCAAAATTGCTCCCGGAAGAGCACTCTTAATTGCGGAGTTTCTTAAATAAAACTCTAACCATTATACTAAAAGGCGCTTCGATGTTTTAAGAGTTTATCTTCTTTTGCTTAAGGGGTTTCACAAATTAAATATTACAGTATTACACCATGGAATGATCCAATCTCAACTACTATAGATTGGGTAAAATTGCTTAATTACAAATTAAAGGAGGTTCATCCAAGGTCATTTGAAGGGAGACCATACTAAGAATTTTTATAGAAAATCCTTAAAGTTATGAATGTAATGAGAATGAGCTAGATTAAAGCTCCTTGTTGATTAATACAGGATTTATGAGGACAATGAGAGATAGAAAATGATGCTCATGTCAACCCTGAATATTTATAATATTAGTGAAAGAGATAATAATTCAAGTCACGTTGATGAGATAATCTTGATATAGGTGGTATATTCCATCAATCGTAGAGTTTTCAATAATAATTTAATTATTTTAGAGTGTATATTCTTAACCATGAGAATAAATAGGTTATAGTTGAACACTTATAATAGTAAGAATTGTCCCAATGGCTTTCTTATGATGTCTTTATCATTAAGCTAGAAGCTTGTATAATGGTCATATGAATAATGGCTCAATGCAAGTATCCTTGGTGAATCAAATATTCATTTGTTGTTTCTTTTAAATAAAAATATTTTTATGTTGAATGTGTCTAGACGACAAAAATACAATCTAGGCCCCATAATTTGGGTTTTTTTAATAGTTTCGATTACATGTGATGTTCAATATGTAGGGCCTCCTTGAGAATGTTAGTATTAAATTCCTTTTAGAATCAACCCATGATTAGCTCCTCCAACATCATGGTAAAAAATTTCTCATGTAACGTCTATAAAGTCATTGTGTAGTTCAACATGTTCTGGCCTAATAAAATTAAAGGTAATTCATTAATTTTTTGCATTTGAGCTCTTTTGCACGTGTTTGATATTTTGTATGCATGTGTTCTAAAGCGGGTCTCAAGATTTTTTCTGAGTTAGAAAATTTAATTTTTTTTTCTTAGGGGCATCACGACTCTGGGATTGGCGGTTCTGCGACAATGGTGCTCTTGGGTTTTTGGAATTTGACTTTGTGCTCTGATGTAAGCCATGCACCACAACACCGTAGGTTCCTGAAGGGAGCACCTTGTTTAGCACCTCATTGCGCCACGACACTGGGCCAAATTTTAATAATAAAAATATCAAAAATCTATTAGTTCATTTCCCTTAGGCAGCCAATTGTAGAGAATGATATGGGAGAATTTGAGAGAGAGAGAGAGAGAGAGAGAGAGAGAGAGAGAGAGAGTTGATTTTGGGCTGCTATGAATCATTTTCGACTGACAGCCCAGTTCTGAAAGTTATCCAGATTGATGTAGGTTTCATTTTACCCAACTCAGTTTTAAAAAATATGAAAATTTATTAGAATTTTTAATTAAATTTATATTTCTCTAACCAAAAAACTTGGATAACTTTTCACCCCCAAAATCGTCATCATGTAATTTTCAAATGTTATAGAGATAATGATTATGGACATTTAGTCATTTTTATGGGAATTAATTTTACACCGGATTGATTCTTAGGGTTGTTGGTAAGACTTGGCAGAGTTTTTCATCAAGTGCAAGCTATGGATATGCATGATAGTCTTATAATGATCCACATGTTAGTAAGGGTTTAATGAGCCATCATAGAAGTTTATAACTAGAAGTTTAAACCATATTAGTAAGGATTATCATAGAAGAACATAAGCATGGGTAGAGGCTTTTGAAAGTTTTGAGGAGCTATTAGTGTTTGTCCCCATGAGAAACTCTTTATGAACTAGTCATCGAAGTTCATTATGAAGAGTATCTTAAGGGACATTATTGAAAGGGGTTGTATGTGAATTCATCGTGGAAACCAATTGATAATGGGTTGCAGGGAGGGGGGAAAAAGTGAGTTGAGATAGCCATGTCATTATCAGTTAGATGGGGTACATTATCATCTTGGTGACGAGCAAGCTTAATGTTGGTGTCTTTGAATCTTCCAACCATTGCATGTGGTTGATAATGAAGAGGGAAATCCTTAGCTTGATTATTTTATCATGATGTTGGATTGCACATCCATGTTGGAGCTAAATGATTTCATCTTGAAATTTATCTATATTATGAAAGTAGTCTTTTGATAAAAAGACAAAAAGCCTTTGCTTTTGTGGTTAGGCCTGTGGGGGTAGGAGAGCAACATAAGCCTAAATTTCCTATTTAAATGACTTATTTATAGAGTATAGAGAGTTGAAGCAGAAGGGTCTCAATTGTTATTGGTGCCATGCTTATCGTCCATTGGGCAGATGTTTATAAAACCCATGATTATGAGATTGTCTTGTAGAAGGTGCTAAACTATTGCATGCTAAAAAATTCATGATGGCAAGGGATGTGTTTATCATCTTATTATTGCAAAAAAAAATTCAGCTCACACATAGATAAATAAACCACGATGTCCAAGATGCATAGATTTTTTCATGTGAAACATTATAATAAGTGAAAAATTATGGAGTCTAACTCAACTGAAATGATTCCACCGTAATGATTAAAAATTACAATGAACTACCATACCACCATTTCATAAGAGAAGATATGATAACAAGATAAGGTAATCAACAAACATTGGCGTTAATCAACAATGGACATCAACTCTGTTTGACAGTAAGTGATGATGGGTGGCATAGATTAGTAATAGTCAACAATGAGCATTTATAGCAATTAACATGGATGCCATTGGTGGCCGATCATGTACATTAACATGCTTTAGTGACTGATGATGATGTATGTTAATGGAATTTGATGGTGGTCATTGATATCACTCAATGGGAGGCATGAGCAGCAATCATTAGCTAACAATGATAGATTTAAGTGGTGGTTTACTTCAAACATTAGCAATTGATGATAACAATCAATGGTTGATGTTTGCAGTAAATGTCAAAGATTAATGATTGACATTAGTGGATGATGCAGATGTTGAATGTTGATAGATAGATCGTTGTAACTCTCTCCATAAGAATCTTCAATGAATATGTAAAAATTCTCTTTATAGTGTTTTGAAGTGGCATCCTGATTATTTCTGCCAAAAATTTGGGTACTCCATCAAATGGTAATAGTTGATCCCCTTGATATTTTTAAGTTCTTTAGACATTTCAGTGCTTCACTATAATCAAAATTTAGTGATCTTGGGCTCTTCAGATATCTCGTGTCAAAACTTTCGTTTCAAGTATAAACATATTGAAAACTAATTTCAAATGGTCCTAGAGTTGAAGTTGAAAATTTTTCATTCAAATATTTTAACTTTTTGAAAGTTATAAATTAAGTCAATATATATATATTCAATCAATCTAAATTCCTTATAACAGATTAATAATATATTAATATTTATGCAAACTAAATATTGTCTTAGTATTACTCAAAGATGCTAAAGAGAATGGAAGACTTTGATATTATATATATATAAAGGTTAGCATATATAAAATTTAATTTTGGCCCAATTCTCTGAACCAGCCTACCGAATCTAAGCCAACTTACATAATTTGTCTTGATTTAGAATTAACAATCCTATAATTGTTGAAATAATTTAGTACATTTAAATGTTAACAAAACAATGAAGGAAAAAAAAAAAAAAGCAAAAGGTTTGAAGAAGAAAATGGCATTAGAATTGTCCATCATAAATATAAGAAAACATTAAGCATCTTCTTTATCAAAATAAACATATATGTTAGGCTTAATGTATAATACCTCTTTCTCATTGTACATTGGTATTTGAACAAGAACCAATGGATATGCCAAGCTCCCAAGCTCTTCATCTTCTTCAATAGAATGACACTTGTATATCCTCTCCGGCCTTCGTCGAAATATTTTGGAATAAAGACTCGCAAATCCCATCGTTGTCTTCTGCATCATTACCAATACCAACAATACCAAACAAATTACTAACATTGCTTTCATCAGCGGTAAAATCATGACCCTCCTCGTCCACATTAATGCAACTATAATCTTTCTCGCTATCGGTAAAATCACAACCACCCTCATCCATAATAGCGTCATCCATATGTGATATAACAACTTGTCAATCAGCATACGAATATGCTCATAGAGCGAAAATGTAATTACACCTGAGATAGAAAAACAAAATTATTGCTAATTAGTGTATAATCATAACAAAGAAAATAATTATATAGAATGTGCTGAGGAACTTAAACTAATTTTAATAACCTTCCATATTCTTCTTTCTCCTGCCTTGCTAATGTTAATGCTGAATATTTGTAGACATGGATGTAGCAGATGGGTTTGCTCATATAGAAATTAGAACACATGAGGGAGTATAGACCTTGCAGTTGTGTTTATTATTGAAGCTTGTTCTTCGAATAATAAAATTATGATTGAGAAATTATTGTTTTCTTGTAATGATCGATGGAAATTATTGCTTGGTTGAAGGAATGAAACTCTTTATAAAAGAAGAAATGAACGTTGAAATGTCTGCATCTGAAACAAGCTTAAACATTACTGATAGTCTATGAATATTTTTATTCTATAAATTTAGAGAGAGAGAGAGAGAGAGAGAGAGAGAGAGAGAGAGAGAGAATATAGTTTTTCCTACATAGGATCCTCTAATAATGCACCAAGAAAGGGAGTTCATCTTGATTCGAAGGTGTAGCTGGACCGTTCTATACTTTTGTATGTGATTGATGTTTAATGATTTGATCTGTGAGCTAAAGCAATGCTGCCGTTTCAACATCTACGTACTGATAGATTGTTTTATTATCGACCGACCAAAAATAATATCTCAATAATGTTTTTTTTTTCCTTGAAAGGACCGAATACAACATGAATCATTATTTAAGGTTAGGCTGAGTGACCAACTCCAACCTTCAGGCAGGGAACTCACTGAATTCATGAGTAAAATTATACAGATAAGAAAGATTAAATAACATAGAAGGAGAAAGAGAGAGAGCTTAGGGAGAAACTCTATGATACCATATGTCATGAATTTATCCTATGACCTCTTTTTTATAGGTCGAGGTGAAGTACAATACTATTTGTTGAGTTCTGGAATGTTTACGACGGTAAATAGATAAAGTGCTTAGCATCTTAATTTTGAACGAAGAAACAAAACATAATTTTAACATACAGATCAAAAGAGAAGGGTGCAAGTGTCTTAAGAAACAACATAATTTTAACATGGGAAATCTTGAAAAGGGAGAAAAACCACGAGGTCTTGTCCAGTTGAAATGGATCCACTAGTGTGTATTGTTGATTACAAATGATCCCCTTCATGGGGGGAAAACGTTGGCTTAATATAAAAAATATAAAGCACATTACATAGTCGGGGTTGGAAGAATATAATGATTTGAGAGCTATTCTCAAGAGAATGTTGGCATGTTATTTTGGTTGGTAGGATCACTGTAGTTGGGAGATGGAGGTTGGAGAGATCGTAGTCGCGCAACTGAGGTCGAAGGGACTATAGTCGGGGGACAATAGTTGGATGGATCATAACGGGGGGTGATAGTGATTAGAGGGATCGTAGTCGGTGGGCAGTAGTGATCAGAGAGACCGTAATCTACGAGCAGCCATAGTCGGAGGTACCGTATAGTCAGTGGGTATGGACCATAGACGGGGGGCAACAAAAGTCGGAGGGGGATCGTAAACAATAAGCAATGAAGGTCGGTCCAACGGAGGTCAGAGGGACCATTGTCGGGGCACGACGGAGGTCAAAGGATTCATAGTCGATGGGCGATGGGGGTTGTAATAACCTTAGTCGACGGGCGACTGTGCTTGGAGGTCGTAGTTGGTGGGCAGTGGAGGTTGTAGGATTGTAGTTGGTAAGCCACAATGGCCAGATAGAGGTCTACGTTGGTAGCCGGACATATCTCTTACGATGATAATCAAACAGAGATCTGATGGCATTAGCCTAGTAGAGATCCAGCATCGACGGGTTGGTGACGAGGGTTCGTCGACTATGGCTCCTGGGTGGAGCTCCGAGATGCTTTAAGCCTCAAAACTCTCTTGAGTCTTCAACATAGGGTCCGAGCCTCTAAAACTCCAAGCCCCCCATTCATGTGCGAAGTGTGTGTCTATTTATAATTTTTGAAGAGTGGTGTGACTTTCTAGAATTTAACTTGGAAGAATTATTCTTTTATCTTTTAATATATAACAATTAGAGCTATCTAATTTTATTTATCAGTAATAAAATTTAATATCAGCGAAAGCAAATTCTATTGATCAAAACATACATATACATCTCTATTTATTTCTCCAATATCATATATAATACTCATGAGTCATACAAATATAATCTATCATTTTATTCATAAATATAAAAGAATAAGTATAAAAAAAATTAAAAGTAAACTTGTAGAAACCTGATCATTCTCACACTTAAGGGCATTAAAATAGGATTTTGGGTCGTGTTCGGGTCGAGCCAGAAATTGACCCAGGTCCAAACGTGTTGACCCGAATCCTACCAGTCAGGTTATCGAGTTGACTCGACACCACCTGCAAACTCAAAATATAGCAAGTGGAGTTCAGACGGGAGCTCGAGTTAGGGTGTGCATGTGCGGAGTCCTGATAAGAGAGTGAGTCTGCGGGAGGGCTCACTGGCGCTGTGGTGCGAAGGGGGAGTCCAGACATGAGTGCGGTTCCGTAGGAGGGCTCACTGGCACTGCGGTGTGGAGGGTGGAGTTCAAACTCGAGGGAGGGTCTGTGAGAGGGCTCACTGGCCCTGCGGTGTGGAGGGAGGAGTTCATACTTGAGGGCGAGTTCGCGGGAGGGCTCACTGGCTTAGTGGCGTTGCGGTGTAGAGGGTAGACTTCAGGCGCGATGGGAGAGCACTGCGGGCACGACACGGGATCAAGTGTTGTAGCCTGTGAGTGGAAGCGACTCGTGAATGCAGGATCTCTTTGCAGGCGAGTTTTTGAGTCATTTCGGGTTACCAGATCAACCCATGTTATAACTCAAAAACTTGAAAATACATTTTTATCTATAACAATCAAGAATATATTTAAGAGTCATTATAAGTACAAATCATAAATCGTCTTTTTCAAAACATCTCTATTATTGTGTATTAATTTAACCAAATTTTTATAATTTTTTGGCGCTAGTGAAAGTCCTTAAGAAACTGACACTTAGGATCATTAGATGTTTGTTTTACAAACCGATTTTACAAGAATTTTTTAAATAAAATGGACTATTTTATAAATATTTTTTTTATAATTTTTGGAATCCTGAAAAATTTTTTATGAATTTTATTTTGAAAATTCTTTAGAATATTATTATTTTATAAGAAATCTAAAAGCACTTCTATTTCCCTTGAGCCATTTTAGCCCATTTCGTGCAACAAAGAAATGGATTTGGGAAATGAGAAGAAAGAGAGGAAAGAGGAGAAAGGTAGCTAGGTTTTGATATTTTGGCTACACATATTTTTTATGACTTTTTAATCACATAGTTTAGAATATTTGATAATCAATAAAAGATTATGCTCACAAGTTAAACAAGTAATATATATATATATATATATATATATATATATAAAAATATATATATATATAGAAGGATATAAATTTTAAAATAAAATAATTAAAATTATTATTAAAATAAATTTGAAAAAAGTTGAGAGATCCTCTGATTTTCAAAGTTATTTGAAAATATATTTTTTTTAATTTTTCAAAATATTTAATTAAATATTAATTAAATACTAATGATGTTTAAATAATTCAAGTTAATCAAAATAAAATAAGTTTTAAACTAAATAATTGAAAAATATTGATCATATTATTATTAAGTTTATTTTTATTAATTAAGAGATTTAATAATATATTCAGTATAACCAAGCATATGCCGGCAGCTACATACCCTAGCAAGTTCGGCGTCTCCGGTCGCATTTGTGGTGCTACGCGACGATCGTCGGCCCTGTTACTGTAGGTTTGTCGCTACCCTTCTTTCCTTAGCTCTCCTCGCCAGCGCTTGAGGGCTTCGTCCCCAGATCTTCTCGAGGAAGGATCCTGGTCTGGTCTTCTTTATCCTTCATCTGCTCCATAGGATGCTGGTAACATCTTTCATGTAAATCCTCTTGGGCTTTTGGCAAGAGACCAGCAGGTAACTCAGGCCTTCCAAATTCTTAAAACACGTCCTAACTAGAAATAACTATGATTCTGATTCATTCCTACCCAAGCAGTCTTCTACATTCAATGGAAAACCGGAGATCCTTTACTCAAGGAACAAATTGAAAAAATCTGGCAGCTTTCTTTGAGTTCTTCTTTACGGGTACATTTTCGTTTGGATGATCTAGCATAAACATTACCCGGAAATGCATCATAGATTTGCATTTAGCAGATAACGACACCATTGGATTAATTGGCAGGACGCATATCTTGATCATTCGTACATTCTCCTCTTGGTTGGGGTTCATTCGCGTCTGTTTCCTTGAAAAACCTACGCCATCAACGGTTTTGTTATGTGGTTGCTGAAATGGTCGCCTCTATTTGACACAAATGAGGAATCCCCGATCGTTCTCATCTGAATTTCTTTCCCCAAGCTAGAATTCAATTTATGAACCAAGCTGCCCTATTTCCTCTTGCTTTAACTATGGACCTTGTTAAAGAGCCATCAGATCAAGAGAAGTCAGCGGGAATGCTAGATAATAAAATTTAGAGCCACAGTTTCATTACTTACAACGAAATACCTCTCCCATTCATGTGGTAGTAAGGAAAGAAAGAGTCCACTAATTCGTCTCTTGGCATCAATCAATACACTTTAAATGGATCAAACCGGCGAATCTACTCGATTATTTATTTTATTTTTTTAAATCATGTATCTTTGTGCATAAATATTCATCGTGAGAATAAACAATTTAAGTTTTCTTATTCACTTCTTATTTTCTATATGGAATCAGAGTAATGTTAGGGTTATATTTTTCCAAACTTGCTTCTTCTCTCGTTTATTATTTATTCTTTTAATTATATCATGTTTCTTTGACTTATCTTTTAAGGTGTCAACTATCATAAAGGATGAAAACTAAATTAAAAAAAAAAGCTTTAAAGGGATACATGCCTCATATAGCTTGAATGGAATAAACTATCTAAAGCAATCAAAAAGTATGAAAATCTTCGTAAGAGAAAACAAAAAATTCCATCATCTTTTAGATCAACCTCTAGATTCGAAAGATCCATGTTTATATTTAATGATTAAGCAAATTTTATGATCATAATATATTCATGGAACACCATAATGCCTTCAATAAGTGGGTCATACATGTTCCTAACAATTGTAAAGATATTTGGGACTCTGTCAAATAGATAGATTTAAAAGTTAAGGATATTGCTCTGATATTTGAGATTAAAATTAAGATATCAACAATCAAGTAATTTAACCTACATATTATTGAAAATTTTAATACATTGGATGTTTATTAGCTTGATTTAGGATATTACTAAGATCTCAAGGTGAACTGTAGCAATGATTTGATGATTCTCAAATAGTTTGTTGAAAGACAAAAGGTTCTTGAGTTTCTTACATGACTTAGTAAACGATTCGATCAAATTCATATTAAAATTTTAATTAGAGAAGTCTTTACAGTAGTGCTGCAAATGAAAAGAGCATTCGATAAGCTACTTGTGGCTCGACTTGATTACAACTCGTTCATGATCATTTGTTTAAGTAATCAAACAAGCTTGAACAATTTTTGAAATACTCGACTGTTAAATAAACAAACTTGAATAGTTATGCATTTGACTTGAGTTTAGGTAATTCTATGTTAGTAGGCTCGATAAGGCTCATTTGTTTAAAACTCGATAAACATAAATGAATTAAACATGAACATCTATTCTTTTAAATGAACAAAGCTTGAACACAAATAAAAAAGCTTGAATTGAGCTCGAACCAAGCTTGAACAATCTAATAATAAATAAGCTCAAATATGAACAAGCACATATTCTGCTCGGCTCGGTTCATTTGCAGCCGTACTTCTCAGTCATATGAGCCAAATAAGGAAGGAGGTTGATAGTGCTTGAAAACTCTATTTATGATACCAATTATAGTGCTCCAGATTCTAATTTGAAAAAAATATTCTTTTATCTTTTAATTTACACAAACAGAGCTATCTAATTTTTTTATCAATATAAATAACAAAAATAAAACTATCGATCAAAACATTAAAATATAACCGGCAAATGCTCCGACTATCATATTTGATTCTTAAATCTAACGATCTGAGAATGCTTTGCGGGTTAAATATTTAAGTTTCATCATCCTCCTTGAAAGGACTGGAGTCGATCTGATTTGAATTAATAAATGTCTAATCTCAATCATAAAGGTTTCTAAATGAAATTCATCATAAAACACTAATATTAGATTTTAACATTCGTATAATCGTCAATTATTAAACCCAATCCTTTGTCAGTGGGTGAACAAAGTTGGCAAGGTTCCAACAACCAATCTTCAAAAAACCACAATGATGGCCCTGTTGAAAGGAAATCTCAACCGGAGGAGATCTTATTTTCAGCATATTTAAACCTCAATACAAAATATAGATATACAATGACTTTAAATGATGGTCATGTTGACAAATAATCTCAACCAGAGGGGTCAAATCTTAAAACCAGTAAAAGTTTGAATTTTTAAAATGAAATTTATCACTTAAAAACTTAAAACTAAAACCATTCACCTTCTGCGACAGTTTGTCAAGGGTGATAAATTTGAAATTAACCTCAGCTCACAAAGAGCAAATGTCATGTCAGGTGTAAAGCTAAGGTTCATCCTCAAATAGCCTCTTGCTAGCAGGGACGTAACACATGTCCTCTGATCGAGTAGTTTTGCAGCAAAATGACACCATTATATTACAATCACGGTCAAAGCTCATACGTTCCTTAATGACGTCAAACTCTTGAGTAATGAATCATAGGGTATATTCGATAGACACAAATCCTTTTTTGTCAGCTAAAGTGGATTCAAATGTACCCCCTTAGACAAATACCACACTAGGTCTACAAGGTATTTTTGGACGAAGCAACCCATGATTGCCGATAAGGTGCCTTCTGTCAGGTTGGGTCGACTACCTCCTCTAACTAAGTAGACTAGGGACCATGACAATTGACAGCCTAGGACTACGGAATCATGAGATCTTGATTGGGCTTATCTTCGTTACCCCCATCACCTGTTTTAAGTATATGGTAATAAAGTTAAAAATTCAAACTCAAACTCAAACCTTAAAATTGTTGCTATTATACGCTGGATTTGCAACCTATTTGACCTATCTTATGACTAGCCTTAATCGAAAGTTCTCTCTCGTTATTGGGATGGGTAATTAACTATAGGGGCTTGCGCCTATAGGAAACCAGAACTCAGATCGTAAATTCCTCACAAAATGAGGGCGAAATCTCTTAGTAGTATCTTATCTAAAACCCAATCTTCCTTCTGAAAATTTACCCCAAAATCTAAACTCGTTAAAACCCTCCCCATCAACAAACAAGAAAGAGATGGTGCGGAGAGGCCGGGGCGCAAAATTTTCGGACCACGATGTTGAGTTCAAATGGACTTAAGAGGAAATGATGTAGCACATTATGTGTATAAAAAAAATAATCTAAATGTCCAATTATAAGATCCCAAGCGGAGTCTAGTCAGGGTCCATCACAAGAGCCTACTAAAAAAAATAATTTTAATAATTAAATTTCAAATTTAGGATTTAGAAGTTTGCCTTTTTTGTTTTGAGGAATATGTATGGGTTGGTCAATTAATGAACTATGGAAGAGAAAATAAATTATTGGTAGTTGTTACCCTCCTCTAGTAATGACCACCCGCATTGTTTCTTTCTAAAATCTATTTCTTCTTTTTGAATGATAATAGTCTAATAGTCATAGTAAACTCTATTATTAGTGCTTGTATTTAATATAAACTTTCTTGTTTGATTAATAGAAAAAATTTGGAGAAAGTTATTTTCTTGTGGTTAGATGGGTCATACTCAATCATCTTTGGTGAGAGTAGGTCTTCTAAATCTTTCTAACAACTTCTCCTGCTTTCTAATTATCTCCCAAGACTAGCCAATTAACCCAAGCCACCAAATTCCTCCTTGAAGCTATCGATCAAGACTAGGTGCACTCTTGTCTGGTCTTATATTCCTCCTCTCCATCAGCCCTCAAACCTTATAAAATGTCTCCAAAACCTTTAGATCATAACTTCATACCCTAACTAATCATTCACATCCATTTCCCTCCATTTAACCTTCATTAAACTTGTTATTGAAGGAGCAAAATCAAATCAGTCCAAATTAGCTCAAGCAGGTTAATCTTGGCTCTCCACCAGCATATCCTCTTTAAAAGCCTTTTCATTCCACCATAAATTCTAGATCATACTTCACATTATAAACTAATCATGTACATCCATTTCCAATCTCCAGTCTCATCATAAAGTCTTTTGACACCATCCAATTGCCCCATTCTTCTAATCATGACGGTGTTAAAGCTCCACTGCCACCAAAAAACTACTTTCTTTACACGTAGAACATGGCCACATGTGATAAAGGACAAGAGTGGCCATCCAGTTTCACTTGGGTTGGCCAATTTTGGGCAGTTTAGGCCTTATCTCAAGCAGTCTAAGAGACTACGGACTTTGTGTACATCAGATCTTGTTTACACGTTTTAATGTTTTTCTTAGTTTATCTTGAGATCAGTTGATCAGCCAAATCAAATCAAATTGGGCTCGAGTTCAGACCTTTTGCATTATCTTAAGATGCCTGCTTTCCATAAAATAGGTATTTTTATAGGTTTAATAATTACAATGTTTAAGCAATCGTCTTATTTAACTTTAGTTCTTCATGTAGCAAGAAACTTATGCTTGACATTGATGTTTTGGATCATCATATCTTAGGTCTTATTGTTGATTATTTATGGAGTTTTATCCTTATTGTTGATGCAATTTTATGGAATATTCTGTGAAACATCTTCAGGTTAAGTATGATAATTTTTATTTTTATGGCTAACTTAGCCTTGTATTGTGTTACGCCTGGACCGGTCCGGTTCTACACCCGGCGGCTCAAGGCCGGGCGGAACCAGGCGGAGAACAAAGAGGGGGGCGGAAGTTTGGTGGGCCCTAGCATGGGTTAAAACGCATTGTGGGAGGGAAATTTTGAAATAGAAGGGTCTTTTAGGTATTTTGTAAAACTCCTTTATTGTTAATTAGGAGGATTGGGCGGAAATTGATTCGGATCTTGAATTTGAGATCCAGGTTTTCTTGCTTGGGCTCTTGGCGTTTCCGGAGATAGGAGAGTTGTTCTTCCTTTCGAATCGAAGAACAATTGTATCTTGCTTATGTTTACTCATCCATTAGTGAAATACAAGTCTCTACTTGAGTTTCTCTCAGTTTTCTCGCATATTCTCGCTGATTTCCTGTGTTTGACTGCTGTCCACTGTTGAAAACAGCAGTTTTTCCTGCTGTTTCCCTCTCCAGTTTTGATTAGGATTACTTGCGGACTCGAGTATTCCTTTGGGTTACTTGCGAACTCAAGTATTTCCTATCAAATTGGTATCAGAGCGTTGTCTTGGGACCATCGGCGGCTGAAACTCAGAAATTTCAGCAAGAAACTGTTGTCCGCAAGAGAAATTCTCGGTAACCGTGGGAGAGAAGATGGCCGGAAGGAAAGTAGAAGTTTTGGAGGGTGAAATCGGCCAACTGAAGACCGATTTGGAGGAAAGAACCGTTGAATTTCGAAATCAATTTGCGTCCATCCATGAAAAGATGGATGGGAGGTTCACGACATTAGAAGAAATGATGAAGAAGATGTTAGAGGGCAAACCAAGCCCGACGACAGTGGAAGCAAGGGAGGCTACTGGCGACAATAGGAGAAACGGGAACCCGAACCCATTGAGGGGGAGGGAGACTACTGAAGTGGAGATCCTTGATGGGAATGACAGAATGCCTCCGCTAGAACTGCTTTCTAGGGAGGAGATGAGCATGGGCTATGACATAAGGGGTGTTGAATTTTTTGGGAGAAGGGATGAGTTCTACCGTCGAGGTGTTGAGGAGGAGCAGAGAAGGGAAGAGTATGAGGAAAGGCAGGGGTACGACCGGCGGAGGGAAGGTCGTGACCACTGGGGAGTTTTTCCCCCTCGGGGAATGGGAGGTTATGGAGGAATTAGGGGAAATGGGGGAGATCCGAGGGTGAGGAAATTGAAGATGCCCATCTTTGAGGGCGAAGACGCACATGGCTGGATCTACAAGGTGGAGTGACACTTTGCGGTCAATGGGTTGACAGAGGAGGAGAAACTGACAGCGGCAGGACTGTGTTTGGAAGGGAAAGCATTAGCGTGGTATCAGTGGCGGGACATGAGGAGGCCCATTCGAAGCTGGAGGGAGTTCAAGGATTGTCTGCTAGAGCGTTTTCGAAACCAGTAGGGGAGGAGACTCTTACGAGCAGTTATTTTCTCTGACACAGGAGGGGACGGTCGCAGATTATCGCGACAGGTTTGAGTACCTTGCGAGTAGGCTGGATCGTCTTTCTGAGACCGTGCTGGAGGGGAACTTCATGAAGGGCCTTAAACCAGAGATCAGGGCAACTGTCAGGGTGATGAGACCACGAGGCTTGGGAGAAGCCATGGAGTTGGCACAATTGGTGGAGGACCAGAAGCACCTGGAGAGGGGAGCTCGTGGCAGTAGTTTCGGGGGATCCTACAAGATGATGACTACCTTCCTAGCCCCCAAAGGAACTGCACAGGGAGAACTACGAGAAGCACCAAAGGAGAGGACAGGAGGAGGGGGCCTGGAGGAAATTTTAAGAAGCTGACAGAAAAGGAGATCCAGGAGAAGTGAGCTAAGGGGTTGTGCTTTAGATGTGACGAGAAGTACATGCCAAGGCATAGGTGTAAGGACCGAACTCTTCAGGTTCTCACCATCTGTGATGATGAGGAAACTGAGGAGGGAGGTGAGAGCGGGATAGAGGAGGAAGAAGAAGAGAAACTACATCTGGATGTAGCTGAGGTTTCACTAAACTTTGTGTTAGGATTCACACCAAATCACACCATGAAGGTGAGGGGAGAAATAGGGGATCATGAAGTGGTGGTGTTGATCGACAGTGGGGCCACACACAATTTCATCTCTAACCAGATTGTACATCTGTTAGGAGTGAAATTAGTGGACACGGGAGGATATGAAGTGATGATGGGCACGGGGAAGGTGGAGATGGGGAGAGGAGTTTGCAGGGGAGTGGTATTGTCCATTCAAGGGATCCAGGTGAGGGAGGATTTCCTTCCCTTAGAATTGGGAAGTACCGATGTCATCCTGGGGATGAAATGGCTTCAGACTTTGGGGGAGACCAAAGTCAATTGGGGTGCTCTGAGGATGGAACTGATGGTGGAAGGACAGAGGATGATGATCCAGGGGGATGCTGGGCTATCGAGGGCAGGAGTATCTCTCAAGTCCATGATCATATTCATACAGGAGGTAGGAGGGGGATACTTAGTGGAGTTGCAACGCTTGGAGCAGGTCAGTGTGGAGGAAGAAGGAGACATCCCACTGGTGGTGCAACCACTCATACAGCAGTTCAAAGATGTGTTCCAGCCACCGCAAGGCCTGCCACCACCCAGCGAGCAGGAGCATGCCATCCTTCTGAAGGATGGGGTGTCGCCGATTAGTGTTACCCTACCGCTACCCCCAGATTCAGAAAGATCAAATTGAGAAGCTGATCAGAGAGATGTTGGAGGCATGGATTGTCAGACCCAGCGTGAGTCCTTTCTCCAGTCCTGTCTTACTCGTCAAAAAGAAGGGAGTTAGAGGTTTTGTGTGGATTACAGGGCACTAAACAAGGAGATAGTACCAGATAAATTTTTCATTGCAGTGATCGATGAGTTACTAGATGAGTTGAACGGAGCCTTAGTATTTTTCAAGATGGACTTGAAGTCTGGCTACCACCAAATCAGAATGGAGGAGGACATTCAGAAGACGGCATTCAGAACGCATGAAGGGCACTATGATTTTTTGGTGATGCCGTTTGGGCTCACTAACGCTCCGGCTACTTTTCAGTCCTTGATGAATAGAGTGTTCCGGCAGCATCTGAGGATGTTTGTGTTGGTATTCTTTGAAGACATTTTGGTGTACAACAGAATAGAGGATGAGCACTTAAAGGAGGTTCTTAGCATCCTACAAGCCCATCAGCTACAGGCTAACTGAAAGAAGTGCAGTTTCGCCCAGTTCAGGGTGGAATATTTGGGGCACGTTGTTTCTGAAGAGGGAGTGGCGGCCGACCAGTCAAAGATTGAGGCAATGCAGAAATGGCCCATTCCTAGGAACATCAGAGAATTGAGAGAATTCCTAGGATTGACTGGATACTACAGAAGGTTTGAGAAGGGATACAGCACCATCGCCTGGCCCTTGACCGAGCAACTGAAGAAGGACAATTTTCTATGGGGAGAGGCGGCAACCCAAGCTTTTGAGAAGTTAAAAAAAGCGATGATGACAGTTCCAGTGTTAGCTCTACCAGATTTCAGTCAGATCTTTATAGTGGAGACCGATGCATCAGGATATGGCTTAGGAGCAGTGTTGATACAGAATCACAGGCCTATAACATATTTCAGTCTAGTGCTATCGACCAGGGCTAGATTGAAATCAGTGTATGAGAGAGAGCTGATGGCCATAGTCTTGGCCATTCAGAAATGGCGCTCTTATCTTTGGGGACGACATTTCATTGTTCGGACCAATCAGAGGAGTCTGAAATACCTGCTAGAGCAAAAGATGGTGACTGAGGAACACCAGAGGTGGTTGCAAAAGCTGTTAGGCTATGATTTTGAGATCCAGTATCAGCTGGGGGTGGAGAATAAGGTAGCTGATGCCTTGTCTAGATGTGTGGGGGAACTTTAGGAGGTGGCAGTTTCAGTACCCTTGATGGTTGATTGGGGGGCCATCAAGGAAGAGAGTATGCAGAACGAAGAATTGAAGAAGATCAGGGAAGGTTTGATGAAGGGCAGTAGCAATCATTCAGGAGTACATAAGACATAATGGAGGTTGGCATCGGAGCTCTACTGGAAGGGGATGTATAAGGATGTTGAGGAGATGGTGGCAAGGTGTGAGGTGTGTCAGAGAAATAAGTACATGGCAATGGCGCCAGGGGGATTACTCCAACCATTAGCACTCCCAACAGAGTATGGGAGGAAGTGTCTATGGATTTCATCGACGGCCTACCCCGTTCAGAAGGGTTCACAGTCATTTTTGTTGTGGTGGATCGACTCAATAAGTATGCACATTTTATCCTCCTAGGACACCCTTACACCGCAGTGTCAGTGGCGGCAGCATTTATCAGGGACGTGGTTCGATTACATGGGATTCCAGAATCAATTATGTTGGACAGAGACAAAGTGTTCCTCAGTCAGTTTTGGAGAGAACTGTTCAGAATGCAGGGCACAATTCTCAAGAGGAGTACCGCGTACCACCCACAGACAGATGGACAGACATAAGTGGTTAACCAGAGTTTGGAGACATATTTGAGGTGTTTTGCTTCTGAAACACCCAGGAAATGGGCTAAATGGTTGCCGTGGGCGGAGTACTGGTATAACACTTCGTACCATTCGGCATCCCAAATGACCCCGTTCAAGGTGCTCTATGGAAGAGAACCCCCCACACTTAGTACATTATGGGAAGGGAAACACACCTGTCTCTTCAGTCGAACAATACTTAAAGGAGAGAGACCGGGTGTTGGAAGAGTTAAAGAAATATCTGGAGAGGGCACAACAAATAATGAAGAAGCGAGCATATACACACCGAAGAGACATACAATATGAAGTGGGGGAGAAAGTGTTTTTGAAGCTAAGGCCCTACAGACAGAGATCAGTGGCTAGCAGGAGGAACGAGAAACTGGTCCCAAGATATTTTGGCCCCTATGAGATCCTGGGGAAGATTGGAGCAGTAGCGTATCGTCTGAAGTTGCCCCCCCCTGCTACTATACATCCGGTGTTCCATGTGTCACAGCTGAGGAGAGCCCTGGGGGAGCACGCAGTTAGTGCCGAATTACCAGCAATAATGACGGAGGATTGGGAAGTGATGTTAGAACCCCTAGAGCTTATGGGGGTAAGATTAGATCAAGAAGGAAACAAGGAAGTGTTGATTCAATGGAAGAACCTCTCTGATTTCGACGCGACTTGGGAGCCGTTGGAAAGAGTGAAAGAGCAATTCCCCTCCTTTCACCTTGAGGACAAGGTGAGTTTTTGGGAGGGGCGTAATGTTACGCCTGGACCGGTCCCAGCTGGACCGGTCCGGTTCTACACCCGGCGGCTCAAGGCCGGGCGGAACCAGGCGGAGAACAGAGAGGGGGGCGGAAGTTTGGTGGGCCCTAGCATGGGTTAAAATGCATTGTGGGAGGGAAATTTTGAAATAGAAGGGTCTTTTAGGTATTTTGTAAAACTCCTTTATTGTTAATTAGGAGGATTGGGGGGAAATTGATTCGGATCTTGAATTTGAATCTTGAATTTGAGATCCAGGTTTTCTTGCTTGGGCTTTTGGCGTTGCCGGAGATAGGAGAGTTGTTCTTCCTCTCGAATCGAAGAACAATTGTATCTTGCTTATGTTTACTCATCCATTAGTGATATACAAGTCTCTACTTGAGTTTCTCTCAGTTTTCTCGCGTTTTCTCGCTGATTTCCTGTGTTTGACTGCTGCCACTGTTGAAAACAGCAGTTTTTCCTGCTGTTTCCCTCTCCAGTTTTGATTAGGATTGCTTGCGGACTCAAGTATTCCTTAGGGTTACTTGCGAACTCAAGTATTTCCTATCATATTGAAAGTACATCACCTACCTATAATTGCAACTCCTAAACTGTGGAATTTGTGTTGCCGTTGATATTGGAAGATTAAATCTCCTAAGCATATAAAATCTTTATCATGTATAAACTTAGAATATTTTATTTTGTTCTTTAGCTTTCGTTCCTAACACTCAACATTGGTCAATATTTTTTTGAAAATACTTTGCTCACTCACCAAAATTTCAAACAAGTGGAAACTTTACCTGATCACAACTTCTAGTTTTTTTTTTTTTTTCCCTTTTTAAAGGCGTTATCTAACCTACACATCATGGTTGGGATCTGAAGTTTAGCTTTAGGTTATCAAACATTCTAACATTACAAAAATACAACATTTAGTCATTAATTCACTTCGTACCCAGAAAATCAGCACCAGCAGAATTATTAGGTAAGGGAAAATAAACAAAAAAGTTTACATTTTTTATTCATATATTCCAACATTACAAAATTATAATAAGCAACCATTCCATTTTTCCAATATGACAAAAACCCCTCACAAACACTTGTTGCATCAACACTGGGCAACTTTTACGTGTTTAAATTTAAGCACTACTGTACATCAATATATGAAACTCTCTGTTTGAAAACGCTCATTGCATACAGACTTACACTACATTACCATCAAAATTACAAAGTCTGGAAGCTACGAATTATGTGTTCCATTTGATGGCTTTGCAAGCCCAAGCTTTGCAACAACTGCATTTGCTATCACCTCATTTGCTTTATCTGTAGGGTGGTACTCATCCCAGAACACATACTTGCTTCTATCCTTACACAATGATGACAATGGGGTGCACGTAAGTGTAGGCCTAATTTTGGCTACTCTACAGCACGGCTCATTTGAGTTTGAGAAACCTGCAAGTAAGAAAAAAATTGTTTGTCAAACGTTACCCTTTAAAATAGGATCAGTAACATGTATAATTTACAAACCATATATCTCAGGGCGATTAATAAGATCCTGAAAGATATCATAGGCATCTCCAAATAGATAAGTAGCATTTGGAAGAGTTTTTGATAGAGTCTCAAGGACATTCTTGGCTTTGTTGTTGAACATAATGGATAGTTTGTTGGTAGATTCCTGACACTCTCCTGATAATGTCAAGAACCTCTGTAAGGGGATGCATCCCATAGGCCCCAAACCAAAGAAAGTAAGTTTCCGCGCACCAAGAGAGTGCAAAAGCTGCACAATTTATTCAAATTTTTTAATCTTCAATGAAAACCTTACAGGAAAATGTTTATTTTTCCCAAAGTTGAATTATTTTGTCAATGATTGTTTGAGTTTATAACTTACTCTTAGTTGGCCGTCAAGTGAAGCTATGACGTAGTTTGTGAAGGTCTCTCCATTATAAGTCCATGAATCAGCATAGACTGGCAAGAGAAAGTTGTTGATATAATCGTTGCTACCCAGAGCTACAACATAGTGAGCTTGCTGGAAGAAATTGGTTGCAGCTGTCTCGCCAATCTTCATCTTTATCATTTCTTGAGTTCCTTGAAACAATTCGATTTGCTTGGAAAGTGAAAATCGTTGAATCTGCAATACGAAGTTCTTATCCATCATTGCAGATCTTCAGTAACTGTTTGTTTGATTCAATTAAGGTTCATTTGGCTAGATAAAGTTTAAACAGTTAGTGAAATTCCAGAATCTGTGTTTAGAAACACAGAATTTGACTGTTTAAATTCTTTTGATTGCTTGGATCTATATTATTTGTAGAGCTTGAGAAAGCTCCAGCTGCCAGTCACTTGTTAGAGCTTAGTCTGTTGATTTTAGTGTTTATATCAATTCATAATTTTTCATTTTTTTAAATATACAAGAAACCTAATCGATCAAATGAGATGGGTCTATTAAAAAAATTAAAAAAAAAAACAAGATTAAAACTTACAAAAAGAGATGAAGTTTCATTCAAGATGCCACCACCTCCTGATGCATAGCTCACTCCACTATTGAGTATAGTCTCATCATCCAGTGTAGGGTCTAGGAAAGCTGGCGGCCTTGGGAGACCCATTCTGTCACCTGAAACAGAAGAGCTTTTCAACTTATTTCTGCTATAAGGAAAATGCTATGGTCCTTCACCTATAGTTCTCAAAAAATTTATAGTTATTCTATTTGAATTGTGTATTGAACTGAGTCCTATTTCACTAATTAGACTATTTGCACGCTTAATGTGGGTGCTAGCATTATTTATTTCTAAATTCTCTTAGGTGAGCCTGGTAAAAGAGTCAAGCTTGAGTGAGCTTGCTTGTGTTCAAACTTGGCCCATTCAATTTTTGCTTAGTTTAATCTTGTCCCTTGTTTGATTATGCTAAAATGTTATATATGTCTTGTTTGGTTTGTTTTTAAGGCTCATTGAGCTTAGATTTTGGAAGACTATTAACCATTCTAATACTGAACTAGTTAATCATAGGCAGCAATTCAATCGATTTAGATGATTGCAGGAGGAATAAGATCCAAATCCATTACAAAACTACTCAGATTCTATCCAATCAATCTAATAACTTCAGGAACTTTACCTACTATATCAGCAATGGTGCGGCCATTAGTGAACCTTCCATTGGGCATTCCTCTACCGAAATCAATCCCATACCATGGCAAAGCAGCACGAGCCAAGCTCTTACTGAGATAGTTATTGTTCCCAACATCAGAGAGCGAATCGCCAAAGATGAACTGAACAACCTTGCAATAACATCTCCTTTCTTCTGACCCTATAGTTGCAACCATAAGAATGAAAATGACTACCTTTACTCCTTTGTTGAACTGATCCATTGCTCTGATGAGATTTCGGAACAGCTTTTCTGGTCTTATTTAAACAGAGAAGAGTAAAGAAAAATGCTAAGGAAGTACTTGTATTGCAGTTGAGAGTAGAGTTGAAGAGGAGGAGAAGGGAACGGAAGCTGGAAAGTGGAATTAGAAGGGTTGGATCAACAAACCCTGACCTAACTTCAACAAAGTTGTGACTGACATTTTAGTTATGACTGCTATCGGAGGAGTTGGCTTAGTAGATTTGGTTGGTCAGACATTCTTCAAACTTTGGTTTTACATTTTAGTTTATCCATGGTAAGTGATGCTGGAGTAAAGTAATGCGAGAACATGCCATATGTTTACACTAAGGGTCTGACACGTAATTTTTTATAAAGGTGATTGTAAAATTATTGTGGAGAAAATTATTATTTTAAAAGCTTGTTGTACAAAGTAGCTTTCTATTTGAAAACAGCAAAAAAATAATAACCAATACGAAAAAGATTTCAAACGAAGTCTAAAATTTCGTTTATGACAGCTTTCTTACTGCTTCTTAAAGCAGGTTTTTAATGAAAAATTTTAATTTTTATACTTAAAAATTGCTTTAAGAAGCAGTAAGAAAACCATCCCAACAAAATTTAAATTGTGCTCAGAAAAATATAGAACATTTGTTTCAGTGTGAAGTTGAGTGTTATCTAGATTAATATTAGTCAGTAGGAAGAATGATATCAGCTATTACTTGAAATCTTTCAGAATTTTACACGTATTGTCACACCGGTTACTTGAATTTTGATGAGATGAGGATGTTTAGAACTCAGAAGTAAGTTGGCAGCAACTGGAAGTGTAAGGGTGGCAACATAAGAGTCATTTGATCTTAAATTTTGCTCTATAAAACTAAAGCAATCAAGAACTATTAGTGCTGCAAATTATTTGAAGTAATTGATCTCAGTCAAATTAGATTGTATCAGTTGCTAGAAACGGGTTCAAGTTGGTTCCAATGTACTAGTAGATCTATAGCTATCAACTCAAAAGCTTAAGCAATAAGGTTAGGCTCATAAATAATATATTGAGAATTTAATTATTATTTAATTTTTGAGTGAAACTATTTTTCACTAGTACATGTATTATCGTGTTTAGGGTTATTAACAATTAGATCTCGAGTTGCTTCTCCAGTAATCTCTTTTAAAAAAAAAATATTACGTTCGGACGCATCCAGAGGTCAATCTGAACGGGCCATATCACCTATTTAGGAGGCCAATCCGGATGCGATGTTCGGAGGCCTGATTTGCCTCCGGATGCATCCGGACACCCACATAAGAAGGACACACAAGATTAAACTAGTATTTTCAATTTTGTAAATGAAATTTCTCCAAATAAATGGAAGGGATCGAAGAGCAGATTTTTTTTAATCTTAACATAGTGAAATAATTTTAATTGAGACATGCCCCGACATCTTTACCTTTTTTATTTTCATAAATTTTTTTATATACAACATTTTGTTATTTGCGTTTGTGATAGATCTTTGTACAAAGTTAATATATTATACCCTTTCTTTCTATTGTCATAAATATTTAAGCACGCAATAATTTTTAGTCAAGTCAAGTATAATTGTAGATAAAAAAGATCTAATATCCATTCTAAGTCAATTATTTTCAAGTAATAATTGATTGATTTTCAATCTTGTTGGATAAATTCTTAATCTAATATACACACATACACTAATGTATATAGTTTGTTATGCATAAATCTCTCTCTCTATAGAAATTAATTGTTTTTCTAAGTTCATATATTTATTTCTAGGCAAACTTAATTCATTAAACTTAACATTATAACTTAATTATTAAATTAAGTTATAAATTTAAATAAAGTTATTAAATTAAATAAAATTATTAAATTTAATTAAGTCATAAATTTTAAAATAATTAAATCAAAATTATAACGTTTAATTTATAAATATATTAAGTTATATTAATTAACCGCTCTTCCTCGCTCTCTCTCCCCCCTCTCTCTGTCACCGCCTTCTCCCCTTCCTCTCATTTTTTCTCTATCTAGAGGAATACTTCAAATGATTTGTCATATTCTGAACTCATCAAATCATTTGACATATTTAGACTACGTGAATTAATATGATGAATTTGCTCATTTTTAAAATTTTTAATAATCATTTTTTTTTACTTATTTAAATTTTAAACATGTTACTCTTAAAAATTTGGCCACTTCAATATTCTCAGTCTTAACAGTTGGCATGACAACTATAGAGAGAGATATCATGATTGACGTGTCTGGACTTCGTGTTAATAATGTGGTTATTGAAGTAGGGAGGGTAATTATATCGCGACAACGTGGTTGAGATAGCAGATGGTTGTCGTCATCTTTTTAGAATGCTATATCTAGGCCAATTGTTAAGCTGATAAGTGTTATTTGATGATCGAGCTAATCCGGTCTGACAAATATTTGGGAGTGTTATATGTGTAATTTGATTGTGTTGATCAATCGTGTTATTCTGTTATCTTGGACCTCAAGTTTGTCGTGCTTATTGGGAGGTGCGGGGGTTCATCCCCTACTTGGGTTCGAGTGCTTGGAGTGGCGTAACCGAGCGCCTCGACGTTGTGAACGCAAAGAGTGAAGCATCGCAACAATCTATATGCAACGTCGCATCGGATCAAGATAGAGGTTCAAGCATTAATTGCAGTGCTTGAAACTGGCACCGCAGTGCTGCGAGACGGACATGACAGCTTTTTTTTTTCGTTTTTCTTAAGTTAGTGTCCCTTTGTGGATATAATTGACTCTCTTGTATTTTCTGTTAGTTTACACATTGGGAACAGTACATGTGAGAAGAGAAGCAAAGAGAGAGCAAGAAAGAAGAGAGTTATGTACATATTTTTTTTTCAATTTTCATAGTGGACTTTTTGGTGTGGTGTGGCTCCCTTGTTTTTTCCCGATTTTGTATTTTTTCTATGTTAAATCATGATGTCCTTTATTTTTCCATTGCTTTTACTTTCTTGCTTGTTTCATCATTATAGCATTTACTCCTCATCCCCAATAGGGAGTAGGCATGCGAAGTTGTAAACAAGTCGAGCCGAGTTTGATTCACTTCTATTTTGAGTTTGAGTTTGATTAATTAATCGAGTTTGAGTTCGAGCACAAACTTTATTTTATTATGAAAAAGAAAATGATTATGATTCAAACAATTATTATAATAAAATTGTAAACAGAATGAGAATTAGAAAATTAATAATAAATAATAATCTTATAAGAAAGTAATATATAACTTTTAAATATTTTTAATAATTTTGTACTAAAAATCCTAAATGTTAATATGTTTTAAATGTATTTTATGTTAATATTGTTTAAATTAGTCAGCTCAATAGCTAACGAGTAAAGTCAGACCTAGCTCAAGCTTGATTCGTTAGCTCATCAAGCTGAACTCAAGAGCTATTTATTAAGTCGAGCTCAAACTTGCTCACAAGTCGACTCGCCTCACTTACACCCTTATTTGGAAGCAATCGGAAGAACAGGCCTAGTCTAACAGTCCACTTCTTATGACTGTTGATAATCCCCATAAATTGATACCTAACATTAACCAACATCCATCAATTGCCCTCAAGAAACGTCTAATTTGCATCATTGTACCCAACTGATCTCCCCCTAATATCATGCAAAAGACTAAGTTAAATGTTACTTATCACCCAATTTCTAATATTATATATGAATTGTCATTTGGCACTCATCTTCCAATGGCAGCTCTGATGCTCAAAGACTGCTACTCCATTCGAGATGTATCCTGCAATTTAGTATATTATATTGACATCTTGTATACTCCCACATAAGAGTTCTAATGCATGATTTATAAATATAAAATTATTTTAATTAGACTAGATATCCTTATTTTTCCCTTCAATTTTTTTTTTAATTTTAAAATTGTATGCATTGCTCTATGTATATAGGATTGATATATCATCAAAAAAGTATCTTGATCGGGCACGAATCTCGTGGCAAAAATCAAGCCGGAAACTTCAAAAATTAATTTGGGGATCACCTTAACTTCGATTTCAGAAAACTTACAGTCAAGCTGAGCGTCTCGGAAATACAAACCCAACGACACTAAATTCGACTCAATCATAGCCCAAATGAGTCCAAATCAAAGACCCGAAGCACATTTGAAATGTTCAATCCATAATTTGGGTTACCAAACGGTTTCCAAATATGACATGCTTATAGTCGAATCGAGCGGCTCGACGAGACAAATCCAACGAGTCCAAGATCGCCAAATTCTAATATTATTAAGACCTTCAAATGTCTGATAAAAGGTCCACAATCAAAGGATTCAATATCGGCTGTCCATTCGAACCACTCCACATTTGCTCATAATCTCTCATCAATTTACGGGTCATGCCACTCCAAAAATCTATAAATAAACCCTTAATTTCTCTTGAGGTGGGGACCGAAGCAAGAAGAAGGAGAAGAGAAGAGGAGGATAAGAGGGAAGAAACTCCTCCTGGACCACCGCCGTTGAAATTCTGCCCAAGTGATGCCGGAATTTTGCCTGACATCCACGAGATGCTGGAATTTTTCTCGACTTCCACGAGACGTCGGAATTCTACCCAAATGATGCTGGAATTATGCTCGACCTCTAAGTGACGAAAGAATTCCACCTGACCTCCAAGTGACGCCGGAGTTTTGCCTGAATACCATCTAATGCCGGAGTTCTCCCTGGTCGTCGACTAATGTCGAACTTCTACCTAACACCTAACCTCCACTAGTCACCAGATTTTTACCCGACGCCGAACTTATGCCTGTTATCAGGTTTTTGCCAAACATTTATCTGATGCTGGACTTCTGTCCATTGCTAGACTTCTACGGCACACAATCCTTCCGATCTCTGTCGCCAGTCGATTACGATCCTTCCGACTTACATCGCCCATTAGCTACGGTCCATCTGACCAAACGAACACGTCAGCAATAACTCTTTATATTATCATTATGTGCTTCGTATAATGTACGTCAAGCCAAGGCCTTCCCCTTAAGGAAGGGCCTCAATTGTAATCGACTGCAAATAATAGTGGAATCATTCAAATTGGGCTCGGCCTCACGGGTTTTCCCATTTTCTGTGATTTTTCACGTAAAAAATCTTGGTGTCTCCTATAAATGCAACACCCTCTCTCTTATCTGATTGAGTGTCGAATTTTTGTACAAAGTTAAGACGTTAAATTTTATATTTTTCTATCGCCGAGAATACTCCAGGACGCAACAAGGATCATAGCACAATCCTAAGATGACAATATCTCTTAAACACCTAATTTTTTTAACACATTATATATTTAACAAATATAATAGCAATTATAGACATGTTCCTATCCAAACAAAATTTTAAGAACTGATTATGAAACCAGTAAAAAGAAGCTAAATTCTAAAATATTGAGCCACTTTTTGTTGTAATGATTGGAATTTGACTAAGAAACTTTGTAGTTAAGTATGCTCATTCCAGAGTAATTCTGAGATGGGTGACCTATTAGGAAGTTACACCAACATGACAAATCCGTGAGGCCCTTAAGCCGTAGTGAATAATATATGGATAGTTAAGAGTTTGAGGTATTACAAATGGTAACAGAGCAATATAACAACCGGAAGATGGGAATTAAGTGCCGTACAAGACATAGCGCTACACCATATGAGCCACATCTTGAACTCAATTTTAGACAGTGCTATATGATGGGAGCCACCACTTGAACTTGTATGGGTCACCTTTAGAATCCTATAAGCCTAGTGGATGATTATGGAATAAAGAAGCTGACAAGAACGTCAATTACTTAAGTGAGTGAGATTGTGAAACCCTTAAGTAAAAAGAAGCTAAACTTTTAAATCTTGAGGCACATTTTGGTGTAATAGTTGAAAGAAACTCTACCGTTAATCGTGCTTATCTCGGAGCAATTCTAAGGTGTATGACTTACTTGAAAGTTATACCAACAAGACAAAATCGTGGGACCCTTAGGCCAAAGAAAATAATATCTTAATAGTTCAGAGTTTGAATTATTACATTTGATAGCTCAAAGTAAATATATACATTAACTATGAGTTAACATATATTTATTTCTTTAATTGAATTAATAAGTTTTTTTTAACAAGTAGGACAAAAAAAAAAAGAAAAAGAGGCTAGTGATTTGAGTTGTACAGGAAAACCCAAAAAATAAAAATAAAATTTAAATTACGTAATGATGCAAAAGAAGATACATATTATTTAAGTGCATGTAGCCCTCAATGCCCCTCATTATCTTATTAGTTGATATTGATAAACTCAACTTGCACCTAACATAATTTAATAGAATGACATCAAGAGAAAATAAAAAATTTATGTCAATATATATTTATTAAAATTTTTATCAGAATTTATTTTGAAAGTTTTTATTTTAATTTTTTATTTTTGAGAAAAATGTAATATCAATTATTTATATATTATATTTATTTTAAAATAAAATTTAAAAATTTTTAATATTAATTATGAATAATTTTTTATTAGGATATTTATATATTGATAGATTTTTTTAATTAACACTACGGTCAAGTATCCCATCGAAGAACGCGTGGCATACGTCCTTAATCATCTTTTATGACGAACTCTCAACCACATCAAAAATAACATTTTTAAAGAGCATATAAAAAATACCATAAAAAAATGCGAAGGGAAATCCCAAGCCTCATCTAGAATCATCACCGTCCGTTGGATCCCCACAAACCAACGGCTCTCCGATCGCAGAATCTCCCCCATCTTATCCTCTTCCCTTAACAAAGAAATCCCATTGCCGTCCTCGAGAGTCCCTAAAAATGGCCGCCATATCCTCAGCAATGGCCGCCGGCCAGAACTCCGATTTCCTCGGCCTCCGCCTCGCGTCCACAAGCTCCGAAGCCCGCAATGCCAACCGCCGCCGTCTCTCCCTCCAGATTCGCGCCAGCAAGTCGAGCCCCCGCCTTTCCGGCCGCCCCCTCCGAGTGGCTGTCATCGGCGGAGGCCCAGCTGGAGGAGCTGCTGCAGAAACCCTCGCGAAGGGAGGCGTGGAAACAGTGCTGATCGAGCGGAAGCTCGACAACAGCAAGCCATGCGGAGGCGCGATCCCCCTTTGCATGGTGGGGGAATTCGATTTACCGCTGGATATTATCGATCGGAAGGTGACGAAGATGAAGATGATATCTCCGTCAAACGTCTCCGTCGACATTGGCCGCACGCTGAAGCCCCATGAGTACATTGGGATGGTTCGCCGTGAAGTGCTGGATGCCTACCTCCGAGAGCGAGCTGCCGAAGCCGGAGCCACCGTCGTTAATGGCCTCTTCCTCAAGATGGACTCCCCGCCGGCAGGCTCCGGTGAGAGGTATGTATAAATTTGTTTCAAATTAGCAGTAATCAGTAAGCGAGTGAGTGTTTGCGGGCATGACGTTAGAATTCTAAGATGTCTCTTTGTTGGCGAGGCCCTAATTTAACAACACTGGTAACAGAGTATAATCTATAGGGAAATTTGGAGGTTATTTCTGTCTCAACTAACTCAGTTTGGAAATGAAGAACACAACGAGGAAAGTGAGCATAATTCGTATTGTTTTCCCAACGCGAATTTGGATCTGCTATGATGAACTTGAAGACTTCTGCTGAATTGCATGCATTGGCTATGCTTTTGATGCTGAATCTGAATCCTTACTGAAACAGAAAATTTACATTTGCTCTTATTTTCTTTATCAAACTCAATTTATTTCTCTGAGTTCTTATAAGGTGCAAATTTCAGCTTGTTTGGAATATATTATCTGGCATGCATTTATGAATATAAATTTCTGTGTAGAAAATGGGCTTATTGTTGAACTTAATTTCTCTTAGTGCATTCTATTGAGGGTCCGTTTGGTTGCAATTGTTCTAATTTTAAGAGAGTTCTAAGCATAATATAAATCAAATGCAATGTATTTGATTGAAAATTATATAGATCAGACAAATTTTTTATTTTGATCAATCAAGGCTAAGGCTTTATTGAGCAACGAAGCTCACACGATGACTGCAAGTGCAATATATCAGTTGCAGGCATCAGACGAGAACAGGCTTGATTTTTATGAGAAAATAAGCTTAAAAATTGATGAACACAACACGCATGAAAACATAATGGCTATATAAATATGAGCATTCGAATCTGCTTTTCTTTCTCTCTTGTTTGACTGACAATCTCAGTGCCACCACCAGATACAAGATCTACTACAACGAGTACAACAGCAAAAAGTCGGCAACAGGGGAGAAGAAGGAGATGGAAGTCGATGCGGTGGTCGGAGCTGACGGAGCTAATTCCCGTGTAGCTAAGGAAATCGGCGCCGGCGATTACGAGTACGCCATCGCCTTCCAGGAGCGAGTCAAAATCCCCGAAGCCAAGATGGAATACTACAAAGACAGGGCAGAAATGTACGTCGGCGACGATGTCTCGCCCGATTTCTACGGCTGGGTCTTCCCCAAATGCGACCACGTTGCCGTGGGCACCGGCACCGTCACTCACAAATCAGACATCAAACGTTTCCAAGCCGCAACCCGTCTCCGCGCTTGCGATAAGATTGCCGGCGGCAAGATCATCCGCGTTGAAGCACATCCTATCCCCGAACACCCCCGCCCTCGCAGGTATCATCGCCTATACCAATCCTTGAACAGCTAGAGAAAATGATCAATTGGTACACTTCGTTGCAGGGTTCTCGACCGAGTCGCGCTGGTAGGTGACGCGGCCGGTTACGTGACCAAGTGCTCCGGCGAGGGAATCTACTTCGCGGCGAAGAGCGGTCGAATGTGCGCTGAGGCGATCGTGGAGGGTTCGGCGAAGGGCACCCGGATGATCGACGAGGGGGATCTGCGCAAATACTTGGAGAAATTTGATAAGGCGTATTGGCCGACCTACAAGGTGCTCGACGTATTGCAGAAGGTCTTTTACCGGTCTAACTCGGCGCGGGAAGCGTTCGTTGAGATGTGCGCCGACGACTACGTGCAGAAGATGACGTTCGATAGTTACCTTTACAAGCGCGTGGTGCCCGGAAACCCGTTGGATGATCTCAAGCTCGCCATTAATACTATCGGGAGCTTGGTTAGGTCTAGCGCGCTGAGGAGGGAGATGGCTAAGATTACTGCGTGAGAGGTATGGTTAGATTTATATATTCCTGTTGTTTGTGTTCTTTCAGTATCAATAACTGTCATGGGTGCATGCCCTAAAACCCATTGTAAGTTGTAGGAAATGGGTGTTTTAAAATAACTACATAAAATTTAAATGATTTCAAAGATTTGTGTTTTTGGGATAATTGAGATCGCCTTAGCTCAGCAAATTAAATAAAAGCTATAAGGTCCATAATAATTATACAAAGATTTATGCTGATAAATATTTCACCTTGAATTTTCATGATGGAGTTAAAGACTCCTTTTATTCCTTACTAGGCAACTAAGGGTAAAAGTGTTCCAAAGCACGGCCAATTCATCTTATTATAGACTTCGTTTGGGACAATTTTTTAATTGTTTCTTAAAATAGTTTTTAAGTACAAAAATTTCTTGAACTATAAATTTTTGTACTAAAAAGTTATTTCAGAAAGCAGTAAGAAAGCTATTTCAAACAAAACCATAATCTACTAAGGGCATCTCCAACCGAAAAACCCATTTTCCACTCCAAAATGCAGCAAAACATCAAAATGCAGTAATTCATTTTCAATCGAACGGCATTTTTTCTCTTCTTTCATGCGCTTCCTGCGAAGGTAACCATTTTCTCCTCTATTCCGCGCTTTTCACCTCTTTCGCGCGCTTCTTCCGCAAATCCCATAGCCCAGTTTTTGGCGTAGGTGAACAATCCGATGCCAATATTGACGTCGTTCTATTCACCTGCCGAACTTTGGCATGAGATTTGAAATCCAAATGTACCGAATGGTCGACTGCATACAGTGATATGTAGTTCGGTTGGTGATGATCTAAACGGTCTAAATTTGATCCAATTTAAAATAAACTCATATCATCTCTGAATAACCATCAAATTTCAATCAGCGCCAACTTTATATACAAACATAAGGGAAACATGCAGTAATATGATATTCATCTCTCAGAAAGATGGAAATTTAATTTCGGAAGAGCAACTCTCTTTGGGAAAAACAGGGCAGGTAATAAAATTGGCTGCAGAAGTGTCGGCACACAGGTAAACTTGATACAATTGGCTGCTCCCTGATTCATCTTGGTTGCACTCGATAACCGGAGTGTAGCCAATTCCTCCTTTTATTGCTTCTCCAATGCTGCTTAAGCTGTAGGAATTATCATTCGGCTCAATACCTGATCACAAAAATAACTAAGTGTTCTATAAGTTTCATCCAAAAGTTCTATCAATATGTACTTGAAATTTTTTTTTTTTTTGGGTTAAGGCTTTGTTTGGCAGAGACGAGGATATTCAGGTGGATGAGTGGCTTAACCCTTAGAGATATGATAAGAAATGAGCATATACATGAAAAGGTTGGAGTAGCTCTAGTAGAAGATAAGATTAGAGAGAGTCGCCTTAGATGGTTTGGTCAAATAAAACGGCGGCCTTCTGATGACCCGTTTAGGAAAGTAAAGGTATTAAATTTGATTTATGTCAGGAAAGGTAGAGGCAGATCTAAAAAGATTTGTTTAGAAAATATTATAAATGATATTTCTTTATTAGATTTAAACGAGAATTTAACTTTTAATAGGATATAATGGAGAAAAATGATTCATGTAGCCGATTCCACGTAGTGGGATAAAGGCTTGATGTTGTTGTTGTTTTTGTTGCTGCTTTTTTTGGGACGGCTTTCTTACTGCTTCGTAAAGCAGTTTTTTAGTACAAAATATTTTTATTTTTTTTACCAAAAAGCTGCTTTAAGAAGCAGTAAGAAAGTCATCGAAATGAAACCTAAATTTCATTCATTTTGACAGTAACTACTCGTACCTGAACTACTTAGCATATGAAGAATACCATCAGCTTTCCCCTTTAGATTAAGTGCAGCTTTGAAGTAATCATGCTCATTAAATACAGATTCAGCGCAAGTTCCATGCTTTGCCCATTCATGAGCCCAAAATGACTGGCTGTTGCTGCTGGGACAGGCCATTGATGGCCATTCTGTATCCAAGCTGTTGATCAAATCACTTATCTGCATTAAATTTTGTTATAAAGAATCAATCAATGCTTAATTCTTCTCCGAACATAGGGACACAAATCATTTCATTCTGTTTGTTCACCGTGAATGAGGATTAATTATTATGTGCGGATGCCGAACGTCGTTCGAAGATTAATCAGAATGCGTCATATCACCCCTATGTTTGATACCGTGCCTCAGTTATTGCTCGGTACTGCTGACATATACATTTTGGTTGGTCTTCGAACGACGTTGTGTCTCATCTCCGCACATAATAATTTCTCCACCATTAGAACATGAATATTATACTTATTTGCGTTGATTCCTATATATATATATATATATATATATATTTTAATTGAGTAAAAAATAAAAAAAAAATTTAAATATTCTTTTAACAAACATATATGTAAAACTCCATCTCCATATGTTTTTAAAATGATTTCATGTTTCACCAGCTGCTAGCGCTAATTAGTCATGCAAATCATTAATCAAGCTTATTAGTTAGTTAAAGTTGATGCTTTCATGTAAATTTTTTTATTTGATTAATTTATGATTCTAATTAGTTGGGCTTAATTAAATAAAGTAAATTAAATTAAGGCAACTCTTTAAAGGAGGTTAAAATATTCAGTTGGTAAGAAAGATAATCTCTCTAAGTTAAGATAAGCTAAAAAAGTTATTAAATTAATTTTAGCCTTAAGCTATGTTCTTTGTCTCATCAAATGAAAAAGATATGCTGAAAAAATAAGTTAAGATAAGATAAGCTAGTATAAATCTCAGTTTAGGTTTTCACGAATATTTTTTTTTGTGTGTTCCCTGGCTCTCTCAATTACCTATATATTTATGTTGTATATTCGTTCATAGCTAAGATAAAAATTCTCTCACTCTACCAACGCGAATCTACTAGCTAGCACGCAACAAGTGCGTTTTTAAATAATGTTGTTGAAACTAAAAGGAATATGAGCTAATGCGTTGAGCTTGACTCGTGATTAATTAGCTCATTTAGCTTGACTCGTGAACCCTTTATCAAGCCAAATTAAGCCTGAGCCAACTCATAAACTAGCTATCAAGATCTTATATGCGCTCAAGAGAATAATGGTGTTGTTTCTCCTTTGCTTAATAATGCGGTGCATGAGATAATGCATGCATCTTCTCAGGATCAGTGTGGTGTAGTTTTTATTAGTTCTGGTGTTTTTATTTCGTCTCTTGTTAATGCCCAAGAGACGGTGGATGTGCCATTAATTGACTCTGATGATGTGGGGGGTTGTGCTTTGGCTTTGTCGAATGTGAAGATGCAGGGGGTTGGGGTGGTGGCAAGATAAACTTAAATTTGTTGTGCTTCGTCTGATGTTGCGGTTTCGCCTATTCTTTTAGAGGGTCCGGTTTCACCCTCTCTTGTTGGGGGATGCTGGTGACGTGGTTTCGCCTATGATTGAAGGGTCTGCGGAGGCCCTTGTAGAGCTAGGTGCCTATAGTTGTTATGTTCCCTAACGGTTTGATTGCCAATTTGTTTATAATTTAGGTGTTACTTGTTCTAGGTAGGGGTGTCAATTTCAGGTCACGGGTCGGGTTCGGGTCGAACCCGAACTGACCCGGGTGCGAAACGGGTCGACCCTAACTCAAACCGGGTAGAGAAACGGGTCGAAAAAACGAACCCGGACCCGACCCGGCGGGTTGCCGGGCCGACGGCGGCGGACGCGAGCGCGGCGGGCGGACGTGAGCGGGACAGC